AAATGCTCTACCACTGATCTATACCCCAAATACGAATATTCTGGTCCCTAGAAAGTTGTATTCTCCCATTGTAAATTAATGAATTTAGTTAGCAAGAGTCAGCCCTTCTCACAATCACCTCTGGCCACCAAAAAAGAGTTTCTGAAACACATTCCTTAATTCAACAATTATTTCCTGAATACTTACTGTTGCCAGGCCATTGGAAATACAACAGAGAGCAAGATGGGCAAAGAGCTCACATTCCAATGGGGCTGGACAAACAAGTAAGCAAGTAAACAAAGTAATTTTCCATGATGTCATGTGCTAGGAAGACAATAAAATAGGGTGATATGAAGCATAACTAAGGTAATTAGTAATTAATCAGTAATACCACTGAGCAGGTGGTATCTGAGCTGAGACCCGACATGAGGAGCCAGTTATGATACTCTGGAAAAGGGTGTTTCATGTAAAATGACACTCAGTGCAAAGATGAGAATGAGACTAGCATGTCCGACAGACTAAAAGATGGCCAGGATATCTGCAGTAAGGTAAGAGTTGGGAAGTGTGACAGACAATGAGACTGAGAGCTGGGTAAGGGCCTTGCGGCTGTATAAGGGCTTTGGATTCTAAGTGCAATTGGAAACCACTTGGACACTTTAAGGAGAGTAAAATGACCAAACTCTAAACTATTTTGATTCCACCAAGGCACCACCCTTCCATGTACTCTACTGTCATCTTCCTGTGATTTTTTAACTTCAACAGATAGAAACACTCAAAGAACCAGATAGTAAAGCTGGTAATACTACTACATCTTGCTTAAATCACCATCTCTTCTATACAGAGTTCTACAGAATCTTGCTGATCACCACTCACTTAGGTGATATAATCATTATTATTCAGATTCTCATGAAATGTTAGAATATAATGGTCCACATTTAATGAATGAAGAAAATAAAATCTGAGTATCTTCTTCTAGGTCAATAACAAAACCAAGAAAGAAACCTGAAAATCTTTTTAACAGAACTGGATCACTTTAATTTCTCTAAAATACAAAAAAAAAAGTCATGAAAAACACAGAGATTTACCTTCTTTCTATCATCTTTCCTGTCAAATGCACACTGTTGCTTGCACTGTTCGCAGGAATAGGGTGGTCCATACTTCTTCTCTGAATTTGTGCAGCGCTGGCATTTATTGCCAATAAATGCGGCAATTATGTTGCAATACTGACAAGGTTTGGGCTAAAAGAGGGGGGAAAAGGGTCAAGTAAGTATTACTGTCATAAAATACAGAGTCTCACTATGTCACCCTTGCTAGAGTGCTGTGGCATCACAGCTCACAGCAATCTCAAACTCTTAGGCTTAAGGATTCTCTTGTCTCAGGCTCCCAAGTAGCTGGGACTACAGGTGCCTGTCACGATGCCCGGCTATTTTTTGTTGTTGTTGCTGTCATTGTTTAGCAGACTCGGGCCAGGTTCAAACCTGCCAGCCCCAATGCATGTGGCCAATGCCCTAACCACTGAACTATAGGTGCCAAGTCCAGTGCATTTTTTAAAAGCAATAATCTTAGTCTATTAATCATGGTAAAAATGTATTCCCAACTTCATACATTTGCTTTTATATTGATCAAATGAAGCTTGATTCTTAACACTACATAAAGCATTTTTTCTACAAAAAAA